CAAGGGAACGGAGGAACAGGTGGTGGGTCAGGGGAATAAGTGAACATAATTTTTTTGTGTGATAGAGAAAAGTGGGTTTTCAGCTGGCTATTCTGACAGATGTGTGTGAACTGCTGCTCTTTCTTTATTACCCACTGGAAGTGAGTTATCCCAGTGCTGTTCTTTTCAGCCTTCTGCAGCGTAGGTATCCCTGTCCTAATGCACCGTGGTCTAGGGATAGCTTTGGCAGAGCCAAGGCTGGGGAGTGGCTTTGTTGGCGGGATGTTTTTTTAGTTAGTTACACTTGTTTTAATTATTCCAGCATGGAGCGTCCCTCCTTCACCACTCCACCCCTAAAATCCATGCCCACAAAGCAATCTGAGTGAGCTACCCAACACAAAATCTGGCCCAGATACTCCACTGCTATCGGCCCTTTAGTGGCTGCTCATGGTCCTTGGGCAAACAGCTCCCCATCTGGCACCTGAAGCCCACTGACAAGCTATTCTGTGACTACACCTCTATACCACACCTCTGTGAATCCTGACCAATGATCAAGGCAGACAGCAAGTGGCTATTCCCTTTTTCTTAATACAGAGCCCTCTCTCCTCCCTTCCGTGTGTTTACTTCCACTCATCGTTTGGAAAGGCACCAGAGCTTTTCCTGCTCCAGATATTTTCTCTGGCTCCCCTGGGCTCAGTGGAACTCCCCTGTGCCTCCCCCACATCGCCCCATGCTCTATACAGTGGAACCGACCACCCTGAGTTGTCTGTTCGTGTCTCCATTTCTCCAAGTGCCTGGAAGGTTTCTGGGCTGCTTTTCAGCACCAACATATATCCATTGCACAACATAAACCGGGAAGATTATGACTTGATGGGTGAACGAATGAATGAATAGTTGAGTTTTGAGTGGTGACTGCTTGTAGAGCTGGACACTGCCGTTTTGAAAGCGTTGGAAGGACGTTGGAAATTCAACTCAGGCCCTCCGGTATCCATACAGCCTTCATGGAGAGGGCGGATAATGCATAAGGGAAACTTCACGATTAACAGAAGATGGAAGGCATATACACTCTCACAGATGGCACCAAACGTAATGAAACATAACTTGTGATAAAAAGGGAAAGTTCAACTGTGGATTAGAAACATAAGTATTATAGAGGTTGGAGGTGGAAGTGAAAGCAAGCACAGAAAAATATAGGTACTTTTAAACCAGACGTTAGGACCAGGGGAGAAGGCATTTGAACAAAAATAAAGGGAGAAAACAAGAGAGATGACAGTATCATGGGAGTAGTTCGTGGATGTCCAGCCAGGTCTAAAACATTTTTTGTTTAGTTTTGTTGTTTTGTTTTTAAATTTAGAGCTGCCAGGATATTTTAGAAACTTGGAACTTGGAATTGTGGACACACTTAACTCTGTACAACGCAGAAGATGTAATGAAGTCATTACCCTTTACACTGATCATTTTACTTTTTAGTGAACAGAAGAAACTACGAAGAAAGTGTATAGGGGCCAGGAAGTGGTGTAGTGGTAACACAGCTGTCCCCACATGGCAAAGGTCCTGGGTTCTTGCCTCAGGACCTCCTTGAACATGCTGGGCATGCACACACGAGCCTGTGATCCAGGCCCGCTGAGACGGGTAGACTGCAGTCTGTACAACCTGTTGGGGATTTCTGCCTGTTTGTCTGTCTGTTTACTTCTGTCATATAAAGAAATAAATAAACTTTTAAAAAAGGAGGCATCTGTTTTGGATTGAGTTTGACCAGTGAGAAAGAGCTGATGGAGATGAGAGAATTGTAAAAGCTGCTGGTAAATAATAACAATAATAAAAACTTCCTGGAGTAAGTCAGGGTGAGTCTAAGCAGACTCAAGGGAAACAGGTTTTGGAAATTTGAAAGTTCTATTGTATGACTCACAAAGAAAATACGGCTCCAGGGGAATAAAAATGATGTTTCGAGTCCACAAAAAATTCTATTGAAGAAATAAACTTGGGACCAGCAGTTAGTGTAATGGCTATTTGCTGGACTCCCACGTAGTCGATCGCAGTTCGCAACCCGGACCTGGGGGCTTAAAACTCACGCTGGGCACACGTGTGCCTGCGTGCCCAAGATCCCGAGAAGAGAATGGAGGAGAAGGATTGCGGCGTGGCCATCCCCCCGGGGGGTGATTTCTCGCTTTCTGTCTCTCTGTCTTTCTGGTGCACGCGCCCTATAGCAAAAAAAAAAAAAAAAACTCTCAAAAAAAAAAAAAAAAAAGATTTCTGCACTTGACTTGAAATGGTAAAATGTCCATATCAGTAGATTGTACTAGGTTCCATATGTATATTGCAATATCAAGAAAATCACTGTAAGTAAACCAAAATGGAGTTCTAAAAAGTGTATAATCTATAGGAAGTTAAAAAAAACAAACAAACAAACAAAAAAAAACCCAAAAATCTAGATGCATGGGAAACAGAGAGGAAAAAAAACCAGGTAACTCACAATAAGAAGGCAGATTTAAGTTCTAAATAGTAATTACTTTCAATTTAAATAATCTGAATATACCAATCAAAAGACAGATCTTGCTAAACTGAATTTAAAAACATGACTGAGGGGCCAGCAGGTGATATGGTGGTTAAGGTGCTGGACTTTCGTACTGCTGACCACAGTTCACGTCCTAGACCTGGCAGCTTGCTTTCTCACTCCCCTCCCCCCCTCTCTTTCTCTCTCTGGTAAACTTAAAATAATAACAATAATAACAAAGATGAATAAAATTAAATAAAATAATTATTTTTTTAAAAAACTATATGCTACCTATGAGAAACCAAACAATAGAACTTCAAAATACATAAAGCAAAAACTGACATAACTGAAAGATGAGACAAATGCATAATTATCACTGAGGACTTTAATACCCTACTCTCACCAACTGACAGAAAACCAACAAAGGTAAAAAGAACTGAACAGCGCTCTAAACCAACAATATCTAACGAGCAATTATAAGATATTCCACATCATAGCAGCAGAATACATGTTCTTTTTATGCACACATGAAACACCAAAAGAGACCATATCCTGAGTCATAAAACAAATCTCAAAATGTAAAAGAAATTAAGTCATACAGAGTATGTTCTTTGACAGTAATGCAATAAAAATAGAAATCAATACTATAAATAGACAACAGGAAAGTCCCTAAACATTTTGCCAGTTTCAAAAAAGTACTTCTAGGGACCAGCAGTTAGTGTAATGGCTGTGTTGCTGAACTCCCATGTAGTCGACCGTGGTTTGAGTCCCAGACCCGGTGACTTAAACTCATGCCGGGCGCATGTGCATGTGTGCCCAAGATCCCAAGAGGAAAACGGAGGAGAAGGGATTGTGGAGTGGCCATCCTCCCAAGGGGGTGATTTCTCGCTTTCTATCTCTCTCTATCTTTCTGGAAAGCCCACATGCCCTATAACAAAAACTTTTCCAAAAAAAAAAATATGTACTTCTAAATAATACATAGGTCATAGAGAAGTTCTCAAAGAAAATTTAAAAAGTAGAACTGAATGAAATTAAAATGCAATGTGTAAAAGTTTATGAAGTATAGCTAAAGCAGCACTGAGAAGAAAATTTGTAGTACTGCTTAGACTGAAAATGAAAAAAGGTCTCAAATAAACAAATTAAGTTTATGC